TGAAACGAGAAAGTGGCACAACAGCACCGTCTGCTGCTGCTGCTGCAGCAGCAGCAGCTGCTGCTGCTGCTGCAGCAGAGGACAGCGACGAAGAAGAAGCAGCCAGCGACGCAGAAAAAGACGCAGCAGCAGCAGCAGCAACAGCAGCAGCAGCAGCAGCAGCAGCAGACAGCGCCGTGGGGGGCCTCATTGAACAGTACAGACAGGAGACAGAAGGGCAAGAAGACGAAGAAGAAACGGGACTTTTTAATGATGATGAATAAAAAAATAAATAAACAAATAAATAAATAAATAAATAAAAATAAGTAAAAATAAATAAATAAATAACAAATAAATAATTAAATCCACTTGCTGCTCAGATGGGAAGAATTCGCTGCGTCTCTTTTCCGGGTGTACGTACACCCGAAATTCGCCAAACTAGCAGCAGCAGCTGCAGCAGCAGCAACTGCAGCAGCAGCAGCAGCTGCTGCTGCAGACAGGCGCAGTGGCTAAGCTTTTGTGAGGTGTACACCTCGAAACAGGCTACTAAGCGCAGCTTGAAATTTCCTTTTGCATTTGCAATAAGGACTTAGGGTTTAGGGTTTAGGGTTTAGGGTTTAGGGTTTGGACGGGAAGTGCTCTTCATGTGTTCGCTTCGCAAGACATTTTTATAGCCTCGAGCAGTGGGGAAGCCCTGTAGCTAGCTGCTGCTGGCCTTGGCTAGCTGCAGCTAGCTGCAATTAGTCAGCAGCAGCTAGCTGCAGCTAGCCACAGCTAGCAGCAGCTAGCTGCAGCTAGCTGCGGCTCACTGGGGCTACCCTTCGTTAGCTGGGGTTGTCCGTGGCTAGCTGTAGCTAGCTGTGGCCAGCCGTGGCTAGCTGGCGCTAGCTATGGCTAGCTGTGGCTAGCCGTGGCTAGCTGTGGCTAGCCGAGGCTAGCCTTGGCTAGCCGTGGCTAGCTGTGGCTTGCTGTGGCTAGCCGTGGCTAGCTAGCTGGGTTTATTTGTCTTGTGAAGGAAATGTGTCCTCAAGGGCTTTTGCTGCATCTGAAAGAGCCCCCCAGTTTAAATATCTGCCGCTTCTGCTGCTGCTTCTGCTGCTGCTTCTGCTGCTGCTGCTGCTGCTGCTGTTGCTGCTGCTGTTGCTGTTGCTCCTGCTGTTGAAGCTGCTTCTAACTCCATCTCGTCTTTTTATTTTTATTTTTGTTTTTAGCAAAAGGCCTTTTAAATGTCTTGTTTGGAATCAGAAAGAAATAAAAACTTTAAAAATGTCTTACAGCAATTGTTAATAATTTTTAATTTCAAAAACAAGAAAAGGCAATATGAGCAAGAGTGACTCGTGCAGGGGCGCAGGGGTGCTCACAAAAAAACAAACTTAAACATAAACCCCTTTTATTTTCGCGAAAAGTTTCTTTTTTATTTAAATTAAATATATTTGTTTATTTATGACGTCGGCGTTGTGTCGGGTGAAAACGCCGGACAGAGAGGTGTCTGGACGTCTGTACACCTGAGAAATCTATAAACTGGTTTTTCAATTCGGGCTTGAGGTGTCTAGACACCGCATCTGAAGGCGCGCGCGCGCGCGCCTCGCCGCGATTCGGAGGGGAAACGCCATTTAAATTAAAATTTGAGTTCAAAAATGAATTCAAAATAAAAAATGAAATGAATTAGCGGAAAAGGCGGGGATTTTTCGCGGGAAATTTCCCTCGAGCCCGCGCCCGCTGCGCGGGTGCTGGGGTGTACATGCACCTCAAGACGTAGCCCTTTCAGCCGCTTCTTCTCGTGCAAACCTGAAATTAAATAATTAAAAGTGAATAAAACTGCGAATTTGAATTGAAAATTCAAAAAAAAACCAAAAAAACCACCCGAGCACCCAGCAGACCAGTGGTGCGGTTTCGAAGCGCAGCAGCAGCCGCACCACCGTGCTGCTGCATTTTGCGTTTCTTTGATTTGTTTCTCGCCTTCTTTGCAAATTGAAAATAAGTCCATATATCTTTTGTTTCCAGTTTTCTTTTTTTGTTTCCACACAGGCGCTTGGCTCTTCCGAATTCCCAACTGCCCTGGACCCTCCGCAGCAGACAGCAGCAGCAGCAGCAGCAGCAGCAGCAGGAAGCCGCGAAAAGAGAATTAAATTGAATCCGCAGCAGCTAAACGAACAGCAGTCCTTTCCCCTGTTCTTTCCTTCCTTTGTTTTGTCCCACCGGCCCCAGTTTGCCCTCCTTTTACCGTGTTTTCCCTCGACCCCCTCAGCAGCAGCAGCAGCAGCAGCAGC